TCCACTCGCCCGCCCGCCCCGCCCCCGCTGGCTCCACCCCTCCTTCTCGCGCGCCCGCCCGCCTCAAACTCCGGCGAACAAGATGTACCATTCACAACTCCGTGGCCCGCGCCGCGCATGCGCTGCCCGCTAGCTTGCGGGGCGGCTGGGTTGCGAGGAACCAGGGCTGCTTCTACAGAGCAGCTCCTTTCGTCTTGCTTATCCTTGGGCCACTCACGCAGGGTACAGCTGTCCTGTGGGGATCCTTCTGCCTTTGGGCAACTGAGAGTGGCCTCGGTATGTCTTTTCTTCCGCCCTTCTTTGGCCATCTAGAATTTCTAGACTTTCCAGCCCCGCGGAGTAACCCCATATTGCTTCTTGAAGTCAAGGAAACCTAAATCCCTGAGGACTTTGTATCCTCAGACCCTGGGGTGGGGGAAGTGTCGACTGTGTACATCTAAGATCAAAGGTGAAAGCAGGCCAGTGCCAACCACATCATGGTGGGAAGGCCGCTGTTTCAGTTGGACGGGCCTTAGATGGGATCCCATATAGCTCGTCTGCCTGCTGACTGGCACCTTGGACTGCTAAGCCTCAGATTTCTAATTTCTAAAATGCAGACGCGCATAACTCATAGTGTTAGCATTAGAGTCTTTATGTAGGTCTAGCACATAATGGGCTCTAAATAAATTTTAAGTTTCTAAAGAGCAAGCTAAGCTGGGCATGGTGGCACTCTCCTGTCATCTCAGCACTCGGGAGGTTAAGGAAGGAAGATTACGGTTTTATCCTAGCTAGGACAATTTAGCAACTTCTTGAGACCTGTCTCAAAATACAAAGACAGGATGTAGCTCAGTGTTCAATCTCCAGTACAACGGGGGGGGGGTGCGTTTAAATTATATCTATATATCTATATCTATATCTTACCAGTCCATATATTTACCCAAACGTGCAATCAAATCCACAAAACGGTATCTACATAATTTCTAAGGAAATTATTTAGCCTGAGCTACAGAAAATCTGACACCGATTTTGTGACAGTTGGTTCAAAGTTGATCCAAAATAAATCCTGATCTTTAATGTTGTAGTTTATTAAAAACTCAGTTCAAACTGGCCATAGTAGCACACACTTGTAGTATCAGCACTCTGGGAGGCTGAGGCAAGAGAATTAAAATTGGAACCCAGCCTCAGGAATTTAGCGATTTAGGGAGACCCTGCCTCAAAAGAAAAAAAAGTTAAAAAGCTTGGAATGCAGCTCAGTGGGAAAGACCTGGGTTCAATCTCCAGTACTGCAAAAACAAAAACAGCAAAAAAAAAAAAAACACGGCACCTCAAGCTGAGGATGGCAAACAGGAGCAGACTCTGATTGGCACTAGCTGGCCAGATTGCAAAGGATTATGAGAATACACCTAAGCTCACAGGAATTAGTTCCAAGTTCAACTGATAATGCTTGCCTGTGTGCAGAATTTCACAAAATTTCCCATTCCTGTCAGATGTGGAACTGAGTTAGGATAACCAACTGTCTTGGTTTGCCAGGGACTGTTCTGGTTTTTATGATGAAAATCTCATCTCACAAGAAACCACTCAATCTCTCAGCAAACTGGGATGATTGGTCACCCTATGAGGTCTGGAAAGTGATTGCCCAAGGTTGAGGTCTTCCAGCAAAGTCAAACCTGCAGGTCAGCTGGCCATGATGGCACAGATATGTGGTCCCAGCTTCTGGAGAAGGTGACACAGGAGCATCACTTGAACCCAGGGGTTGGAGAACAGCATAGACAGCATGGCCAGATTCTGTCAAAAGAAAGGAAAGAAAGAGAAAAAGGAGAGGCAGTTCTAAAAGCTGGTGGTTTTGATGGACATACTCCCCTGAATAGCAAACATAGAATCAGCTCCTTCTTAAGAGTGTGTTCCCCTGACCCACACCAAGACTGTGTGTATACAGATAGAAAGGATATAGATATGAATGTCAATGACTACTATTGGTAGATCTTCAGCTATGTCAGGATTATCCCCTCAGGTTTCTTTCAATTGAAAGTGACAGAAACCCAGTTCCAATAAATGTATCTATTTGTTATTTGTTTGTTTGTCTTTTTTGAGACAGGGTTTTTCTATGCAGTTCAGCCTGGACTTTCTATGCAGTTCAACCCACTTTGTAGCCCAGGCTGGCCTCCAACTCACAGCAATCCTCCTGCCTCAGCCTCCTGAGTGCTGAGATTACAGGCGTACACCGCCACATCAGGCCAAACTTATACCTGAAAGGGTCTGCGTTATTCAAGTACATCAGAGAAGGGGACAGATGAACATTATCTGCAGATAATACTTTTTCTTTTCCATTTCTCCATTTTTCCTCATAGCTTATTGTCTCAGTCTCTCTTGAATGACATTTATTTCTTGGCAAAACAGGGAGCCACCCACTTCTCCATCTTCTCATAAAATTACTATTAAGGACTTTGATTACCCATCCATGGTAACACATTCTCCCTCTACAAAAACTTTATGTCCACCATGATATGGATATGATGTAGTGATATGATTGGTCAACATATCACATGCCCTCCTATCAGGGGTTGGGGCCTGTAGTTGGCAGCATCAGACAGAATCCGATGGTTGAAAGATGGAAAGAGGGAGAATAGCAGTTTTCCCAGAAGGAGGGAATAGGAGTGCATTATGGGCCCACTGAAGCTTATATCAGCAGCATGCAAAGGATGCCATTTGTGTTTTGCTCCATAAATGTTCTGGTCAAACTGGTAGAAAAAGTCCACATTAGCACAGGCAAAATGCAGAGGAAACCAGCTTTAAAAATCTGCAACTTATGTTGAGAGGTAAGTGATACAGTCTCTATCTCAAGATAGCAGCAGGGAGATTTAGCTCAGTGGTAGAGTGCTTGCCTAGCAAACATGAAGGCCTAGGTTTGATCCTCAGAACCCCAAAATGAAAAAAATAGATACCAAGGCAGAACTAAGTCACTCATCATTCACAAAGAGTAGGAGCCTTTATGTGTCTGCTGCCTCTGCTCAAATCTTCCAGTCCAGGCAAAAAAACCTTTAAACACTAGGACAGCATTGCCATTGTTGAAATGAGAAGACAATGATTTTCCTGAGAAAACCAGAAGAGCTCACTGCTGGTGTTTTTGTTGCTGGCCTTCATGGTAGGAAAAAAGGGGTAAAACATATTCTAGGGGTAATGCATAGAATATTATTTAGCACCACCACATTCTATTTAGGTAGACATTTGTGTGAAATTTTCCATTTCTGTCTCTAAAAAATGATCCACCAGGAAGCACGGCTACTTCACAGTGGGTTCAGGAAGGGCTCACAGACTTGCAGCTGATCTTGGCCTTTAGTCTCTAGTAATAATTGTTTCTGCCAGGGGAAATGTGGAATAAATAAAACTTGGAAGATCTTGAGCATGGCTTAAATGGCCAGACAGATATCCTGAGCTTTGACATGGGAAAGACCAAGGTCAAGGGAGCTGGGCCTGGATGGGTGGGAGTGGCCCACAGGTTAGGGTGCTCTAAGTGTCAGCTGAATGGGGTTGGAGAATGTCATCTTAAGGGAGAGGGATAGCAAAGCCTGCCAAACGACCCAGAACAGCAGCAGCCTTTGACAATCCTAGGCTACTGAACAGCCCACACTCAGTGTTGTCTGGCAGGGACTACCGGGAAATAAGCTGCAGGCTGAAGGCACTCTCCTTAGTTGACCTCTATATGCTGAGTTTTCTGTGGTGGTTTTTAATTTTTTCACTTATTTTAAAAACAGGATTAAAATAAATTTATAAAGTAAATTTTCATCCGCGTGCCTAACCTCAGTGGCAGCTCTTTTGTTGGCTACAGATTGATTCACATAGGACACTGTGGAGGAGCTCATGAAGAGCTCATTCCAGCTCTGGGAATGCCCATAGATGGAAACCTGGGGTGTCTCTTTATAGCTCCCTGCTCCCCGCAGGCTCCTCCCTCCCAGAATTAGGCTGAACCCTCTGAAGCTTTGCTACCTGGTTTGTTCTTTTCTTAAACTTACTGCCAGCGTTGGAGTCCCTTTAACCTTATCCCTACCTTCCTGGGTGGGTGGCTGCTTTTGTAGAACCCCCAAAATAATCTTAAGTTGATGGAGGAGAGAATGTACAATAATGCTGAACAGGGTGTGGAGAGATCTCAGATTTCTAGCCCAACTATGAAGCTCTGAGCTGGGTGCTTTTCTGACACTTATCTGAGATACTGTACACAACACCTCCTGAGTTAGGTCTTTCTGTCCCCATCAGACAGATGAAGAAATAGAAATTCTGAAGAGGTGAATAAGGTAAATATGACAGTGACAAGACCTTGACCCACTATAGATAACAAAAATGGATAAACATCAATATACATCATCTTCATTTGCTCCTCATTGCAACCCTGCAAGTTTGACATTTTCCCTCCAGTGTTGGGAGGTGAGCCTAAGGGGCACTGATATACTTCCCCAGCCTCTTAAATTTTATTTTGAGACACGGTCTTGATAAATTTCCCAGGTTGGCCTTAAACTTGTGACCCTCTTCCTTAGCCTCCCTACCTGGAGTTACAGGTGATGCCACCACACCTCGCAAGTTTAACATCATTGACCCTATCTGATAGATGAGGAAACTGATGCTAAGGGAAGTTTTGTGATCCCAGGGTTGTGTCTTAACCATTGTGCTCTGATGGTAGAGGTGGTAAAAGTCCTGCCTGTCTCCCTGGATGGATTGTGAACTTATGCAGAGTTAAGGTTAAGGTCCCTCCTCCTGGAACATCCACCATGTCTAGAAGCCTTCTTACTACATTAAA